AAAGTCCTTAGGATTCTTGACGAAGGTATCTTGTCTTTTTATGTACACCGAGAGCATCTGCACCAAAGACAAATTCCTTGTGTGTCCAAACGCACTTAGCCAATAAAGTATTCTATTCTATTCTATTCTATTCTATTCTATTCTATTCCATTCCATTCCATACAACAAAATTGGCTGCTAAGCCTCTCTAAGGACTTTCAATGTGCAATTTCTACCTAGTCAAAGTTGAAAATGGTCTTAGAGGTCATCTAGTCCAACCTCTTGCTCAATACAGGATTCCCCTAGCATACTTCTGATGGATGACCTCACTTCCACCAATTTCTGTCTGACGACCTCTAGTGACTTCTAAACAAACTGAAAAGGAAGACTCGGCAAACTTGTCTCATCCAGATCTTTTAATCCAACCGCATAATCTGCACATCTCAAATTAAAATACGGCTTGGAAAACTGATCTCTGCTGGGGATTGTACATTTTCAATTCAGAATCCACCATATTTCTCTGGGTGGCCGCAACAGGTATTCCACATTTTTAAAAGCTGAAGGAACCTGCTCTTTACTCTTTAATTAATTCTTTAATCCCCTGGCAGGATCAGGAGGACCTTTCCTGCTAATGGAGGGAGGGGTCAGGGATTCCCCTGTCTTTGCCAAGTCCCTTTAAACACCGGTCCCCATCCTCTGGGACCTCCAAGAGGAGGAGCCAAAAAGGACTTTATCACTTGGCATCCCTAAAATGTAGGAATGTGCTTTTGTGCAGGATTATTCCAGCATACAAGGGAGCCCAGGCTGCCTTTACACTGAGATTTTGTTCAAAACCACCTCAAAGAGCCTTTGACTCTCCCCCCGCCCACTTTATGAAATGAGAGTTCTTGAAACCTTCCCCCCTTAAAAAAGCACCCTGGAACATCCTCCTCCACATCTGACTTGGTTGTTTTATGTGGCTCCTGCATCAAAGAGTCAGCCGCCACTCTCCTTGCTGCAACTTGTCTATCTGTCCCTTGGGAATCTTCTGATCACACCCCAGTTGCAGGATTTTGCTGCAGGCTCTGGACGCCGACCCATGTCCTGCTGTGAGAATCCCTGGCTGGAGAGGCCTCGCCAGAGGGCCACTCTGTGCTCAGTCAACTCACCTCTCCATCTGCTTTTGATGCTTCTCCTCTCGTGCCTGAGCCTTCATCTGCTGGACCTCGATGGTGTCCGGCTTACGCCTGCGCATGTAGAGCTCATGGTTCCCCATGCACAGAGCCAGAATGCGCTTGTTAATCCTTAGCCGGGGAGCATAGAAGACAAAATCCTTGGCAAAGGAGAAAGGACAAGGTTAGCCTTGAATGAATGCAGCTTCCCTTGGCCCTCTTTTTTTCCAGAAGTAACGACACAACTTGATTACATGGGCTGTCATTTTTAGGATGATTAAGCATATTTCCAAACAAGTATTTTCTTTTGCAAGCATCTACCAATACACACTATTAAAATTCTTGTATCTTTTGTAACTTTCAGTTGGATGAAAAGAAGTGTGTGTCCTAAGACAGCAATTTTTACAGCAAGGTATCTCAAATGGGCAGAGGTGGTATTTACTGGTTCTCCGAACTACTCAAATTTCCGCTACCGGTTCTCCAGAACCTGTCAGAACCTGCTGAATTTCACCCCTGGCTGGGTCCCAAGTCTTTGATTTCATTTGATCTAAACTTTCCACTTCTTTTTAATTAATCTCTGAATAAATTAATACACGAAAACAGTTAAGTTGCAAAACATAACTTACTGGGGCTTTCTTGTCAATGGGCTTGATGACAAACTTCTTGTCATTGAAGGAAATGTTACGGATCTCACTCCAGGGGAAGCCAATTTTGGGTGTTAGCCTGTGAAAGAGGATGTGTAATTTCAAAACTTAAACCTCAATGAACAGTTGCAGCCATCCAAATACCTGTGCTTGTTCACACCCTCCAAACATTTCCCGCCCATGAAAGTGTTTGGATTCAGAATGTCAGTGGAAATTCCAAATTGACCAAACTATGTAACTGAACAGATCTAGGAAATGAATGGCAGCTCAAAATAAGAAGATGCCATCTGAGGCGTCCAGTCCAAGCCGGGAGTCAAGTCCAAAGGATGACCAGGGTATAATCCATATTGTATGTGTGATGTCATTGTGATATGCATAAAGGTAGTCCTCGCCACCACAATTAGGTCTGGAATTTCTGTTGCTCTGCAAGGTAGAGATTCACTGAACTGCACCCACTTTTGCCACAGTTGTTAAGAGAATCCCTGCAGTTGTTAAACAAATCCTATGGTTGTTAAGTAAATCCAGCGTCTCCCACTGACCTTTCTTACTGGAAGCCAGATGGGAGGGTCCCAAATGGTGACCCTGGAATTCTGCAACTCTCACAAATACATGCCAGTGGCCAAGAGCCCAAATCTGGCACTTTTGTCATGGGGATCTGTGCTGACTGGCCATAAGCCACATTTTTCAGCCTCTTCCCATCATTAGTAAATGAATGGTTGTAAGCAGGGGTGAAATTCATTTTTTTAATTACCGGTTCTGTGGGCGTGGCTTTGTGGGCGTGGCTTTGTGGGCATGGCAGGGGAAGAATACTGCAAAATCCCCATTCCCTCCCAATCAGCTGGGACTTGGGAGGCAGAGAACAGATGGGGGCGGGGCCAGCCAGAGGTTGGTGGGTGTGGCATGGCTTGGTGGGCATGGCAGAGGGAGGATACTGCAAAATCCCCATTCCCTCCCAATCAGCTGGGACTCGGGAGGCAGAGAATAGATGGGGGCAGGGCCAGTCAGAGGTGGTATTTGCTGGTTCTCCGAACTTCTGAAAATTTCCGCTATTGGTTCTCCAGAAGTGGTCAGAATATGCTGAATTTCACCCCTGGTTGAAGTCAAGGATTCCCTGTATTGTCTCTTATCCTGCAGATGCCTTCCAATCCAACCTTGAACCCCAAAAGGACAGAGATCGCAAGTAAGGTGGAAATGCTCAGTTTAAAATGCCAGTTAGGTCCTGCCCTATACGTGCTCTGACCTCTGTTTTGGTGCAAATTGTGCAGCCACCCCACTCCACAAAGGCCAGGAAGACATTTACTTCAACGTTGCTTCCTACACTAGGGTAGGTGTCATCATCTACCCTGTTTTCCCCAAAATGAGACCTTCCCGGATAATAAGCCCAATCGGGCTTTTGAGGACATGTGCTAAAATAAGCCCTCCCCAAAAATAAAGCCTCGCCTAAAATATTTAACCGCATGCACAGCTGGTCCTTGTCATTTCCTGAGGGGGAGGGGGAACATGCCACACGCAGCCCACATGCACCTGTCATCCATGAAGAATGGCCTCATGGAGGCTGCTCCTGCAAACCCTAGCTATCGCACCCCTTCTCTTAGTGGTGGCCCCAAAAAGAGTGGCAGGTCAAGCAATGCTAGGGCTGGCAAGAGTGTGCCAGAAACAGAGACAGACCTTCTGGCCCTCTTTGGATCAGCTGATCTGCGGGCCAGGGTTAAGAGGCCTCCTGCACCTCAAAAATAATAAGCCCTCCCCTGAAAATAAGCCCTCCCAAAAAATATTGCAATGCAGCAGCAGCCATGAGGCGACCATGCTCGATGCCTCCTGCACTTCAAAAATAATAAGACCTCCCCAAAAATAAGGCCAAGCGCTTATTTGGGGGGGGGGGCGTTCAAAAGGAAATAAGACCCCATCTTATTTTTGAGGAAACACAGTAACAAGACAAGGGTCATGCACACAAATCTGGGCCGGAAGAGTAACTTTTCCTAATAATTAAAATCTATCTATATGAAAAGTCGCTTGATATACGAAATTAAGATTGCCCAGAACAATTCTTGCAGCCTGAAGGTATGTAAAGATACAGACCATACAGAGACAATTCAAGCAGTGATCTTAGCTTCATATAACAGGAAGCAAAAACAACCACCACCCTCTTCTTCAATCTGAGGAAATTTCTCACTTCTGTTTCAAGGACAATGAGCATGAGAGCTAAAATGAATCACAAAATCCCTCTGAGCCTAGGAAGTAATTTAATTTTGGGGAAATAATTACGTTGGGATAAGAAAGCAAGTTACACTTGTTTTTTATTGTTTTAATGTTTTTAAATGGCTTTAATTATTTTAGAATTATAAGCTACCCAGAGATATTTAACCAAGTTAAGTTGGACAGCTATAGGAATGAATGAATAAATGAATGAATGAATGAATGAATGAATGAATGAATGAATGAATATTCCAAAAAAATCTGTCAGTAGATTCATAGAATTGTGTGAGAACTGGAAGCAAGTAATGGCAAATCAATGCCAGCACAGAGAGTCACTCTGACTAAGACAGGACTAGAGAGTGCCAATAGAGCAACCTATTATCAAGAGCAATGCCAAAACCACATAAGATAAAAATGAAAAGAGAATTGTTTGCAGACTATATTCCCAAGAATGTGGCAGAGGTTTTCAAACTTGGCAACTTTAAGACTTGTGGACTTCAACTCCCAGCATAGCTGGCTGGAGAATTCTGGGAGCTGAAGTCCACAAGTCTTAAAGTTGCCAGGTTTGAAGACCTCTGAACTAGAGTCTTGGACTTTGGGAGAGCTGATTTCAATCAACTTACAGATTGAGAAGGGTTCCATGGATAAGAATCCTCAAGGGGAAAAATAACACAAGAAGCTTAGGAAACTTTGAAAAGCCAGATTATAAAAACCCAGTCTAGCACAATTCCAATGAAGAAGAAAAGAATTCTGGGAGTTGAAGTCCACAAGTCTTAAAGTTGCCAAGTTTGGGGACCCCTCAGCTAGTTGATCAAAGGAGACGACGGCTGTCACCATCTGTGGAGACTTAGTCACATCCAACTGTGTCCTGCTCTTATAAACCCTCCCCTGTCTCAATCACTCTCTGTCAGACAGACAGACAGACACACACACACACACACACACACACACACACACATATCCCACCATGCACTCTATCGGAAGATTAAGAATAATTTTGTTACCGGTCGTTATGTTCATAAATGTTGAGTCCAAGAGCATCTACTCCTAACCAGAGTTCTGAGCCTTTCTTGTTCTTAATACTAAAGTAGTTCACACCATACATCTCCAGATCTTGTGCAATTTTTAGATATTCTAAGATGGCGTCTTCTCTGGAAGGACCAAGAAAACAAAACAGAGGTTCATATTAAAAGGTAATTTTGGTGGCACATTCTCAAGAACATCCTCTTTTTTTGCAACGGTTGGTATTGCATCCAAAAAAGGGTACTGCCCATTTGCTTGGAGCATTGTGACTTTTAATGTGCATAGGGTTGCCTGCTTTACAGTAACAACGAACTAGCCCAGCTAGGGCATGGAGACACACAGAGACAATTTTATCAATCTTCCCATCTGTCTTAAGAGTAGATGGATGACCAAAGTCTCTGGTAAATGAAAATCAAGATGTGATTGCAACAGTGTGGCCAAAGCACCAACTGTTTTTACATGCACCATGCATCATTAAGACATAATTATACCTTGCAGATGCCCCTGCAAGCAAAATGCCTCACAAGAGGACTTGCAAAAGTCATAAATAATGCTCTGTTTTGAACCACAAAAGCACCTTCCGTTCTTGCCAGCCATACCTGAGCATCCCCCGATGTTCCTCATGCCACACCTGGATTCTTTCTTCCCACTGATCCTTGTTAAGCTTATGCTGTTCCAAAACTCTAAAAGGCAAAGAGATGGAAGACATATTAGGACAGCTCTGTAAAAACAGATTCTTCAGCCACATGAAGTTCAACCATGAAAAGAACCTCAAAAGTTTCCACTTAGTGGAAGAGAGACGACAGGAACATGGGCTGCAGATAACACTGGAATTGCTTAGGGGCCCTCTCCAAGGCTTGAATCTCTCTCTGGTTGCTTTTAAATATCTCGCCTCTCGGGTCTTTACTTCCCGAGGGTTATTCCTTCTCACACAGTTTTCCAATTTTTCAGAATGTCTCTTTCACAGCTCTTAAAGCGATAGTAGTTTGGGATCCAATTATTATTTAATGGGACGTGGTGGCTCAATGGCTAAGACGCTGAGCTTGTCGTCAAGAAAGGTCAGCAGTTCGAATCCCTAGCGCTGCGTAGATGAGCACCGCCCTCTAGAGTCAGGAATGACTAGCACATATGTGCGAGGAGAACCTTTACCTAAGTATTATTTTACTAAGGAAAAGAAATAAATTAAAAACACACACCAAAGGCATTTGGGTTGCATTCACACACTGTGCTCAGCACAACTTCATTTGTGTCTGAATGCCATATGGCAATTCCCTTAATTGTGGTTTATTCACCAAACCACAGCTGAGCGCACTGTGAGGCCCACCCAGCCTCAAAACGGAGAGGGTGATGCTCATCCATTGCGGAATAACATCCAAACTGTGCACAGAAAAACTGGGATATGAAGCTCGTAATAAAAATATATACCATATTTTTCAGAATATAAGACGCACCGGAGTATAAGATGCACCAAGATCTTGAAGAGGTAATTTTTTTTTTTAAAAAAAAAGGTTTTTGCATTCTGCAGACCTCCCAAACCCTCTGAATGCCTCATTTTTTGTGAAAAACGGGGCATGCAGAGAGTTGAGAGGCCTGAAAAGTGATCCTGGGGGCTGTGTGTGTGTGTGTGTAAAAACGAGCAAAAAATGGCCCGTTTTTTGTGAAAACAGGCCTGTTTTTTGCCCCCCAAGAGGGCATGCATAACCTTTAGGAGGCTTATAGAGTGCTCTTGGGAGCTGGGAGGGAGGGGCAAAAACAAGCAAAAAACAGACATTTTTTTGCTCATTTTTGCCTTCCCCAGCCCCCAGGAGCACTTTGCAGGCCTCCCATACCCTCTGCACGTCCATTTTTGCAAAGGTGGTGGGGTTTCAGGAGGCCACTGTATTCAGTGTATAAGACACACCCAGATTTTCACTCTCTTTTTTGGGGAAAAGGGTGCGTCTTATACTCTGAAAAATATGGTAGGTATGCACTTAAAGGGGGAAACCGCAACCAGATTTCACTCTACCTTTGAGGAAGCAGTTTGTCAGTTGTTAGATAGCCGGGCTTATGAACCTCCTTATTAAAGTCCCCATATTTGGACTGGACCGCGTAAGAAGCCAAGAGAACCGCCGTCTCTGGAGGACAGTAGATGTCATCGTTCAAGATGGCCTCCTTCACTTGGAGGAAGAAGAGGCGCTGCGTGATGTCTTGGATCAGCTCCTCTGCAACATCCTCTGGGTAGAATTTGGCCCGGAATTTGAAGAGCAGCGGGCTCTCTTTGCGCACATCCTGAGCTGTCACCTGCAGCGCATTGGAGCAAAATCAGGGTGAGAAAACACATCCAGAACAGCCATACCAGTAGTGGCCTGGAGCAGCTGAGAGCAACCGGTACGGTGGTTCGTTTGGCCCACTCGCCCGCCCGCGCTCTATAGCTGTATTTATGCCAAAAGACACACTGCACACACGCACACAGCATGCGGAGAATGCGCACGCCCCGACAAGCAGTTGAGTGTCACAGGGGCGGTGGCAAGAGCAACCCACCACTAATCGAGAAGCATCACAACTGAGAACTCCTGGGACAAATACTAAACCAGGAAGTCTCTGGTCATCCAGGCCATGGCTCTCCCAAGGGCGCTTTTTCGAAAGGCAACTGGACTTTCTTGATTTTTTCCTTGAAGACATTTTGCTTCTCACCCAAAAAGCTTCTTCAGTTCTGACGGAATGGTGGAGAATAGGAGGAGTCATCTGGAATATAAGGAATCTGAATCCTTCCATTCTCCACCATTCGGTCAGAATCGAAGAAGCTTCTTAGGCAAGAAGCAAAACATCTTCAAGGAAAAACCAAGAAAGTCCAATTGCCTTTCGAAAAATTGCCTTTCGGGCACTTTCTAAGCCAGAAGGCCCTCTGAATCCATTATCCACGACCCCAGCCACGGGGCCCAGGTTGGAGTGCCTGCCCTAAATCCAAGGACAGTTTGTTAATCTGTTCCACTGGGTTGACTAGCCTAGTATTTCTAGCTCAGCCTTTGCCAACTATTGTAGCCTTTCAACTTCCAGAATATTGGAAGGGCCATGGTTGAAACTGTTGGGTGCTGAATGTTCTACACCTACCCTGTTTCCTTGAAAATAAGCCCTCCCTGGATAATAAGCCCAATCGGACTTTTGAGTCCATGCGCTAAAAATACGCCCTCTCCCCCAAAATATTGCAACACAGCAGCAGCCATGAGGTGACCACGCTCACCACCTCCTGCACCCCAAAAATAATAAGACCTTCCAGAAAATAAGGCCTTATTTTGGGGGTCAAAAGAAAATAAGACTCTGTCTTATTTTGGGGTAAACACAGTAGAAGGTGCTCAGGTGGACAAAGCAATAGACTGGCAATGCCACCTGCAGCCTAGCAGCTTGCTAGATGGAAGGAAAGCTGGGGAGGTGATCCAAATTCAGAGGTGGGGCTGCAGCCTGTCTCAGAGAATGACGGGAGCATCGTCTGTGACTCTCATTCAACAAAGACTGACATAAAGGCAAACTTGTTTCATCTCTGCCCAAGAAAGCAAACTCCCTTTTTTAGCGGGGGGTGGGGTGGGGGGCAGAAGCAGAAAATAAAATGAGAGGCACCTCCATACCTTTTTATTTAATTTCAGCCATGTTGAGAAGCCCTTGGTGTCCTGGTACTGGAGTCCAAAGAACCAAACTTCTCGCAGGCCGATTGTTTTCACCACCTGTTCATGAAAACCAGACATCAACACGTGAACAAGAGGAAGGGGCTTATGGGTCACAACCCAGGTCTGTTGTGGCACAGCTACAAGAAGGCCAAATGGCAGGCATGGGTATGTGGAAGCAGCAATGGGGGACTCCATTCCTTCCGGGTTTTTTTGCACAGAACAAGCTCTGCCCTAAATACCCTCTAAGACCATGATGACGAACCTATGGCATGCGTGCCACAGGTGGCAGACAGAGCCATTTGTCAGGGCACACGAGGCGTACTGGCCAGCTGACTTTGGCCTTCTTTTGAGGCCATTTTTCGCCCTTCGGAGGCTTCCTTGAAACCTCCAAAGCGTGAAAATCAGCCCTACGGGCAAACCAGAGATTTGGGAACAGACTTCCAGGTTGCTCGTAGGGCTGGTTTTAGCCCTCCAGAGCTTTCAGAAGGCTTCCCTGAAGGCTCGGGAGGGCAAAAAAACGACCCTATGAGCAAACCGGATGTGACTTCTGGTTTGCTCGTAGGGCCGGTTTTAGCCCTCCTGAGCCTTCAAAGGCCTCCAGGAGGCTTCCCTGAAAGCTCTAGAGGACGAAAAATGACCCGACAGACAAACTGGAGTAACTTCCGGTTTGCTTGTAGGGTCGTTTTTTGCCCTCCGGAGCCTTCAGGGAAGCCTCCTGGAGGCCCTTGAAGGCTCCGGACGGCTAAAACTGGTCCTATAAGCAAACCGGAAGTCCGTTCCTGAACTTCTGGTTTGTCCGTAGGGCCAGTTTTTGCGCTCTGGAGCCTCTGGAGGGCCTCCAGGGGGGGGGAGGGTCCTATAAAGCCTCTGGAGCCTGGGAAGGGTGAAAAAAGCACGCCAAAAATGGGGGAGTTCACTGGTCATGCGTGCATGCGTGCTGGGGTGTGCACATAGCATTATGGGTGTGGCACACCCGCGTACAACCCCCCTGCTTTTGCCACGTGAGCTAAAAAAGGTTCGCCACCACTGCTCCAAGACAAACTGGGATTCCGCTGGGAAGCAGCCACCCTGCCATAAGGGAGCTGTCCTCTTTTCCCAGGCAGGGGCCAAGACGGAGGTGGCATCCCCCATACAGCTGTTGACTTGGTGGGGGGTTAGGGTGGGATGCACAGAGAAGCTCCCTCTGCAGAAGGCTCCCACAGAGCCTTACTCCCCAGGCCAGCTGCTAAGTGGAGATTCTCAACAGCTATGACTATAAGAAGAGGCTTTTTCTAGGAAAAAGTAAGAATGATTTTTTTTGTGGGGGGATGGTAGGGAAAAATACAGGATATTCAACAAAGAATGACAAATATCCAGGTAGAGTTGAAAAGAGAACTTCAACTATTTCCATAACTACTTAGATGTCATTTCTCTACTCAAATGCTGAATGTTCCTTACAAGTCCCAGCACAGAAATGGTGAACCTTTTCTGTCCAAACTGGAACATGCACGCATGCATGTGCCTGCGCACACCAGCCAGCTAGTCTTCAGGTTTCCAGCACACACATGCATGCTGGCCACCTGGTCTTTGCATGTGCGAGAGCATCCGAAACCCAAAGACCAGCTAACTGACATGCACATGCCTGTTGTTTGGCCATTTTCAGGGCTGTTTTTGGCTTGAAAAAAGACCCCCAAAATGGCCTGGGAAATGGTCCAAAAAACAGCCCAAAACAGCCTGGTTTTTGGGCTGGTTTTGCTCGTTTTTCAGACCATTTTTCAGGCCACATCTATCCTCCGCAAGCTGCACTGGCTGCCTGTTGGTCTCCGGATTCGCTTCAAGGTGCTAGTTGTCACCTACAAAGCCCTTCATGGTATTGGATCTGGATACTTGAGAGACCGCCTGCTGCCAATTACCTCCACTAGACCAATAAGATCCCACAGACTAGGCCTCCTCCGAATTCCATCAGCCACCCAGTGCCGACTGGCGACTACCCAGAGGAGGGCCTTCTCTGTGGCTGCTCCGACCCTGTGGAACGAACTCCCCGTGGAGATTCGTACCCTCACCACCCTCCAGGCCTTCCGCACAGCCCTTAAAACCTGGCTGTTCCGGCAGGCTTGGGGCTAAAGACTTGCAGCCCCACTCCGAATGGTATGATTGTTGTGTTTTTAATAGTGTATGTTTTTTTGTTCTGTAATTTGTTTGTTTATCCCCCTCCCTTGAATTGTGAGCCGCCCTGAGTCCCCTCAGGGAAAAGGGCGGCATACAAATAAAGCAAATTCCAAATTCCATTTTCAGGCCATTTTCTGGCACTCTCGTACAGACGAAAAATCAGCTGGCCATAAACCAGAAGAGCAGCTGGCGATGGTATATGTGCCCATAGAGAGGGCTCTATGTGCCACGTGCCCTAGGTTTGCTATAATAATTTTGCTTCTTTAGATGCCCGATCCATTTTGGGATGCTTCTCTTGGCCGAAATCCTGTCACTCAGAATAAAACCTGAAAGCAGAGTGATCACTTGTGGCTCCTGGATGACCAAGAGTGTCACATGCTCCATCCAAGGGGAAGAGCACTTCCACGTGGGATCACACACACACACACACACACACACACACACACACACACACACACATCACATTACTGGGCTCCACCTGGGGAGCCTGTGCTGCAAACCAGCCACTCCTCCAGCCAGGTTCTGTCTGCCAGGCAACTCCACTGGGTTTTGCGCAGTGTGGCCACATCAGCCTTGCACGGAAGGGGGAAAAGATTCGTGGAGGTCAAAAAAGTCAAGAAGGGAGAAGTATCATAAAAAGGAGCATGCAATTGCAGGAACTATCTTGAGTTATTTGACACCACCCCCACCCCCAAATTCAGTTCGAAATGTATGAAGAGTCATTAATATCACACTGGCATTCTCTCTCTTTTCCAAAAGCAAATTCATGCAGAGCCACAGGCAGCTGCAGCCACCAAATAGTCTGAATTCCACGTGAGAGGTTGTTCAAGATTTTGTCCGTCCTCTAAGGCAGATTAGATGTGACACTGACCTGCCATAAGGCGCTCCCACGTGGAGCTGCGGGGAAGAGATGGGGGAGGCCTCAGCTGGGGGAAAGAGAGGGGCCCAAGTGTGGAAGACAGACAATGTGGGGTGTCTACATGGCACCAATTGTGCTGAAGTTTTCTCTGGCAAATCAGGCAATGTAGATGCAATGAAAGGTCTGGGACTCTGCTGTGAGAATTGGGTCTTTTTCCTCCCCTCCTCCTCCTCCTTATTTGCAAGGAGGTCCATTTGGGCAGCTTGAAGGGGGCAGAGGTCAACAAAGATGAAAGCTGTGTGATTGCCCATGAGCCTTGGAGAAAACGTCCCTCTTCTGGTTTGGCCACATTCTTGTCCCACCTTTGAATATCCTATTATCCTATTCGATCAGGGCTCTTGCAACAACAGGCCCTGTGCCTCCTGGGAAAATGCAGGAATGTCCAGGAATGTTTAGAAAGCGGGGAGAAGAGATGGTACCTATGACATTTCGGAAGGCACCTATTGTCCCCTTTATTTGAACTGACCGGACTGGCAACTATAACAGCCATGCCTCTAGCGCAGAGGTGAGCAACCTGTGGCTCTGGAGCTGCATGTGGCTTTTTCATGCCTCTGCTGTGGCTCCCTGTCACCGGTCAGCTCCACAATTGATAGAGCTTTCAGTTAGGACAGGTAGAGGAAAAAGGATGCCCTGCTAGGAGGAGATTCTATGGTGGGAAACCAGACTTCCGGTCGGCTCCAGAATTGAACAAGGGGCTTCTGGTTAGGACCTTTGTGGCTCTTTGAGTGTTTAAGGTTGCCGAAACCTGCTCTAGCATGTCCATTCCACTGGCAACCCCTGGTGAGTTAATATCTTTAAAGAGGAAATAGCCTTCTGTGCCAACCATCGTGCATTAGCATATTGAAAGCAACTACAAGATCCAATCCAACATTTGAAATCGGTTGTCAATATCCCCTCCAATGCAAAACAACTCAATGATAAAGAGGGGTGTGGTGGGATTATTATTATTATGGCAAGAAAACTGAAGGGAGGCTGCATTCTGATTGCTGAAAAGATGCACCGCCATCTTTAAAAGAGTCATTTCAACAGTTAGCCTTGCGTAACAGTATTAAAACTAAGCTTTAACATTATTAACTGCAGAGTGAAAAGCTGGGCTAAGGCAAGACTGGGCATTGGAAGGGGATGAGAACATCAGCCAAGCTGTTTTCCATTCTCGATAGGGCAGGCTGGGCAAGCTGGAATGTTCAGTTGGGCAAAAAAAATGATAAAGCATGGAACAATTACTTTGATTTCCCATTGTGGGCAGGCTGAATGGGTTATTTCCTTTGCAAATCAACTTCCTCCTCTTGCAATTGTCCAGAGACAGTTGTTGAATTCCAGAGCTACGTTACAGAAAGAGCAGATTAGATGTGAGGGCTCTTTCTTTCCAAGTTAAGGCTGGTGCAGGAGCCAAATGAGTGGTTTTTGGAGTCAGCCAAGTTTTCCTTGGTAGCTCTGGGTATTCTTCTTCTTCTGTTGCATGTATTGTTAGGGTGGGGGTGGGCACATTTTGAGCAACTCCTTTTGCAGGTCTATGAGGGGAAACCCCAGCGAGGAGACCTAAAGGTCTCATTCCCCTCCCTTATAGGTTTTTTTTAACTTTACGTCATCCCTTGCATTTATATCTGCTTTCCTACTAATGCATACATTACAGCTAATAAATATGCAAAATAATATATAAAAATACTAGCTGGATACCCGTGCTTCACTACAAAATCATGTGATCAGGTCAGCCCACAGACTGGATGAGTCATGCCCTGACCACGCTCATATAAGGCAAATGGCAGTTGGAACAGAGTTCCTTTCAGGTGGGGAGGGGGAGTAGAACATCTAATTCCTTAGCATCAATGCATGTTAATATAATACTGCATAAGGAATACTGATGATCTGATGGTCATTTCAAAAAATCCTTTCTTAGAGAGCACCATGTGTTCGTTCGGCAGCTCCGACCATGCTTTACTTGCACAAGCACGAAGCCGAAAACACCAGCCTGAAGATAGTGAGTGGGACCTCACTGAAACATTGCCAAGACAATCTCAATCTTACGCGGGAAAAGACCTGAATACAACAAGACCAGTATATAATGTATATATATATATAGATAGAGAGGGAGGGAGGGAGGGAGGGAGGGAGGGAGAGAGAGAGAGAGAGAGAGATATTTGTGTGTGTGTGTAGCTATTTATAATGTATACTATTAAGTATATTCATTTATAATATAAATGTTTATATATAGCATAACATAATTAATATAATAACACACACCTAATAAATTACAGGTCAAACAAAAAAGCTAATATTGGAAAAGGTGAGATAAACCCCACCACCAGATTAAAATGTACTTCAGAGAGAGAAAGCCAAATGAGGTGACCTATGAAAAGTAAAATGCGTCTATTTTTAGGGCATGGAACCATTTCATCACTGGAAACATCCCACAACCAATTTCTTAAGAAGAAAAAGTCTCCTGGTTTAAAGTCATAAATCTTCTCATAAATCATAAATATTTATCGGCTGAGGATTCCTCCATTGGTCTTCCATATAAGTAATCATGATGTGGCACCATAAAAATGTTATTTTTGCTGCAAAGGGCATTGCTGTCCCTCTGGAAGTTATCTAACGGAACAGAAGTCTAATTTGATTAATTCGCTGCATTTACAAAGATTATGGAATTGGAATGAATCTAAGCTCCTTAACCGGGTTTCTTCAGTCCAGCTGCCCCCTCGCAAAAAGCTACTCAGGTCTCAGCTCACTTCCAGACCTACTTTCGTGGCTCCATCAGGGTTAGAATTTAGTCACTCAGAAGAAGGTTATCTTGCGGGTAACTTTAATGATCCAATACCTACAAAAATACAGGTAGATACAGTGTGCAGTATCCTCAACTTATGCAATTATGGTTGTGAGTCATGATGGTTGTTAAGGGGATCATCATGCAACCGTATCTGATTTTTATCACTTTCCTTGAGTGCTTTTTACAGAATGCAGCAATCATTAAGTGAACCAGTTCACTGAGATGTAAACCTGGTTTCTGGCATAAATGTCATAATTCTCAGCCACAGGAGCCCAGGATGTTGCAGATGGCTCTAAATTTGGCTTGGTTTTGCCCAAAATGTAGTCATAGCACACCGGGGGCGGGGTGGCACACATCAGAACTTCAAATCCAGATTATAAGTATCTTTTGAGCAGGTCTGTCGACGATCTGTCAATGGTCACTAAGTGGTCAGTCGTAAATCGAGGACTACCTATGTAGACACACACTCCTATTACACTAACTTGGGTTCTGGCAGTGACACCCATTACAAGCCATCAAGCTAATGACACAAATGGGTGGCATCTCTGCCCAAATGATCTCCTGCTGCCTGTGTTCTCCTCCCCTCCCCTCCTCTGTTGCCTCTGCAGCCAAGAAGAAGCAGAGCATGGAAACCGAAACAGCAAAACCTCCTCCAAAGCAAGTTGGCTTTGGAGTCCAGAAGGCTTGCAAAAGCAAACCGTTTAGGGAACCCTCAGAGAAAACCCAGGATCTATTTTAAAAGGACACAGAATCCTTTTCAGCCAGTGGAGTTTTGTTTTAAACAGCTGAAGTGCCAATTCATCCCTCAGTCACATCCCTATCGATTATTCTATAGAGAACTAGCTGGATACCCATGCTCCGTTACGAAACTATGTGATCAGGCTTGATAAATAGACACAGCTTGAAAATCAATGAATAGGGCCTCTCCTCTCCCCTTCTCTCCTTGTTGTCTGGGCTGAGCCCCTCAATTGTAACCCATCGGCCCTGATCCTCCACTCAAAGGCAACAGAGAATAAGTTCATGTCATGTCTTCGACTACATGACAATGCTTCCCGTAATTGAAGACTGCTACCATCTCTCTCCTCTTAGCCTTTTCTCCTGTAAGTTAACCTCTGCATCAGTTGTAGGTTGGAGGTGGTACACCCTGGTACGGACGTACTGGTGCCTGCCCGGAGAACCAGGTACCGTTCCGGTACAGTGCTCCAGAGGGCCCACCCACCCAAGTTCCTTACCTGTATTTGAGTTCTTCGGCGCTTCCATGCATGCCCACGGAGCGCATGGCACTTGTGTGATGCTCCACCAAGCAGCTGGAGCGTTGCCAAAGCTCCTGAAGGCATCACAAGAGGTAAGGATGCATGTGCTGCTCACATTCATGTAGTGGACGCCGAGCCCCGTTGCAATCGTATCAGTTGCAACGGGATCCGGAACCCACCACTGCTCTGCACGCCTCATTTTCTGTGAAAAATGGGGCATGCAGAGAGTTTGAGAGGCCCGCAAAGTATTCCTGGGGGGAGGGAAAACCAGCAAAAAAAGGCCTGTTTTTTTGCCAAAACAGGGCTGTTTTTTTGCCAAAAAAAGGCATGCATAGCCTTTAAGAGGCCTACAAAGTGTTCCTGGGGAGAGGGAGATGAGCAAAAAATGGCTCATTTTCCGCTCGTTTTTGCCCTCCCCAGCCCCCAGGAGCACTTTGCAGGCCTCCCAAACACTCTGCATGTACATATTTAAGAAGGGTGCAGGGTTTTAGGAGGTCACAAATGCTATATTCAGTGTATAAGACACACTCAGATTTTCACCTTCTTTTTGGGGGGGGAGGTGCATCTTATACTCTGAAAAATATGGTACTCAGAACGTCTAACCACAGAATTTGATTTCTGGAGCCTCCATCATTTTGGCAGTCCTTTGCTGCAATTTCTGTTCCCCGATTCTGGTTCTGTCCTCTGGGTGACAGAGAACTAATGCACTCCCTCCTCTGCATGAGAAACCTTCAGTTAAATAATGCTTTTAGGAAATTCTAGGAAAATTTGGGGTTGTGCTGAAATGGATGGATTAAACTTAAAAATTAAAGATAAAGGGGACTCGAAATGTTATAGAACCTGGAATCAATTTTATGAATGGATAGAGACAAGAAGTAGAAATGAGAGGGAAGTTGTCGAATGTCAATAACTGTTAGTATGGAAAATAAAGATGCTCTGGAATTATGGATATAATATGGAAAAATTGTAAATAGGCTAATGTAAGTAGAAATTTAGCTAAAGCTCATTTTCTTTTCTCTCTTTTTCCCCTTTGGTTGTATTATTATTATTATAATCACTGTAAATATATTACTGTTGTAGTTATTAGCTTGTTAAGTATGTTAAGATTTGCTATTGATTTTTCTTTGGCTTTGCTTTGTTTGTAATTGTTACCCTGACATGGCACCTTCTTTTCAATAAAGTATAAAAAATTCAGAAAAAAAAAGTGCTTTTGCATCTCTCCTCGGTCAGTCTTCTCTAGTCCTCCTAACTGTTCCTCACAGGACTTTATTTCCAGATTCATCATCTTAGAAGCCTTAGAAACCTCTGGAGCCATTCAATTTGTTCTTCTTTGTAAACTGAACTCAACAGAACTCAACACAGGGCCCTTGAGGGGATCTGACCAGGGCAGATTTGAGGAGGATCAATTCAACAAGACCTTCTAAATGACGATTCCTGGCCCAGCTACCTTACCTGGTCAAACAGCTGCTTCCCCGTTGTATTGGGCTGGATGGCAAATTCCAACTCAGCATCCATGGTGGTCACTCGCACGCTGATCTGGAATTGGAAGGAGAAATCCATTAAAAATCCAGCACATCACACCAAAAATGGAATCTTAACTACAAGGCAATCCTTCAACTAAAAATGGCAGCACCATTATTGGGAATGAAGTTCAGGGTGACAACCAGGCAATTGGGATCTGTTTATGCTCTCCAGGAAACAAGCTAAGAGCTTCACACAATTGGGCACAGACAATGTTTTCTTTCTCTCCCAACCATTCTCTTGACCCAAACTGGAGAAGAAGAAAAAGAAGGAGGAAGAGGAGGAGGGGAAGAAGAAGAAGAAGAAGAAGAAGAAGAAGAAGAAGAAGAAGAAGAAGAAGAAGAAGAAGAAGAAGAAGAAGAGGAGG